CTTTTTGCAAGTTGGATTGATAGGAAGAATCCTCCATATAATTCATTTAGAGATGTTAAATATGAATTTAAACTTTTGTATTGTAGTAGTAGAGATGGTTTAATTGGAGCTACTTTTCATCAAAAATGTGACAACATTTACAAAACTCTTGCAATTGCTAAAATACAAAACACTGAGCAAATTTTTGGTGGATATAATCCACTTAATTGGAATGGAAATCAATATAAAAATACAAATGATAGTTTTATATTTAATATAAGTAATAGAAATGATATCAGTACTGCACAGCTTAGTTATCCTATTCAGAATCAACAAAACGCAATATATTGTTATCCAGGTTACCTTCCTACTTTTGGTGGTGGTAGTGATTTGTATTTTAATTCAAGTAAGGTAATTTACAGTGCACAAAATAGGAGTAGTACTTATAGTAACATCAATCTAGTAAATGATAGTGTGTTTGATGAATTAGAAGTTTTTCAAATAATTGATAAAAATTAAAATGATCAAAAACACAAATTTTGTTTTCATTGGAATTAGGGAAAATTATTATTATTATTTATTATTATTTATTTATTTGCTTCATTAAATATTTTGTTATTTTTTTTTTCAGGATTATTAATCATTTTCAATAATAATAACTTTTTTATTTTTCTTTAAAGTGATTTTACCACTATTGATTTCAATCTTACATCTTGATCTGGTCAATACTATCTTTATTTAACTCCCCTCATAAGCTTTAAATCATTAATTGAATAGATGACTTTTTTCTTGATATTCTGGTTGTCAATAGAAATTGATTTAAAATAATTGTATTCTTTTTTTATTATCAACTAAACCAAATAATTTTATTTTCTGTGATTTTTTTTTAAATAATCCATATTTGTCTTTCTTGCAACCCAATTTCTTTGCTATATATTGTCCCTCAGATATGTTTATGACCATATTGTTTGATTGCGTGTGATTTAAGAAAAATTTACTTTCCTTCATTTGTTTTAGATAATTCTGTCAAATTAACGTTCTTATAAATTATTCCTTCTCTATCACATCAAATAAACAAAAGTATAGTTTGGGAATTGTTATTTGATATCGGAGATGTGATAGACATTCTAAAGTTTTCAGAGTCCTATTGCAACTTTCCTCAATAAAAAGGATTGATTCTTTTATGTAAAAAAACTCAACTAAGGAATTTTTTAAATCTCTCCCCTCATAACTCATTAAATACAATTGACACTAATAATGCAGCACCAACCTTACCATGATAACTTTAAAAAATTATTGGAATCAGAAAGGTTAAAGAACCAAATGTTAAAGAAATATATGCACACTCATTAATTCTAAACACTCATTGTTTGTATTTAAGAATGCAGAAAAGAAAATGGAGATTATATTCTAAGGAGGAAGTATCTATGAATTAGTTTCTAAAGAATTATTGAAATTTTTTTCTTTAGTTAAAATAATAATTATGAATAAGAATACTGGGTGCAACTTTTGATGATAACCATAGTTGCGTCATGTAAAAATGGTTGCAACCTAATTGCGGCAGTATCCTTGTTTATTTATATTTGTAAAATACAATATTAATTGAAACGGATGAGCTTGGCATTGAGTTGCTCTATAATTATACAATGAACTATTTTGTGGAGATTCATATTGACTATATAATGATAACACCAATGACAATTTAACCAATTGAAGGATATCCGTATAAAGAAAATAGTGAAATTGATGTTTGGGAAAAGAATCTTTCTTAAATGATGTTTATCAAAACATCCAGAAGAATGTTAAAAACTCTGGTCTTTACAAAATAAAAAACTTTATTCCTTTAATTAGATAGATTCAAAGGTATTTCAAACCAGTCACCCTTTTTCCGGGAAGGAGTTCTCATTATTAGATTATCAATTAATATTATCCAAGACAATAATTAACCAAAGGGTTATTTTGCTTTTTTTTGCAAGTTGGATTAACAGAATAAATCCATCATATAATTCATTCGGAAAAGTTAAGTTAAATATAAATTGAAATTTTATATTTAAATGTAGCTGCATTTCATCAAAAATGCAAAAAACTCTTGTGGTTCTCAAATACAAAATATCGAACAAATTGTTTGTGGATATGATCGGAGTGGATGACACATATGAAAGTACATGTGAAAGTTTATTTATTTATGTCAAGGATGAAAGTTATACAATCCATCTTGTTTGTCTATTTTTTGTCATCTTCGTCAAAATCCAATGGTAAAAGGTTTGATTGGGCGCGCATATATTTTCGTGCGACAAAAAATATAATAGTAAATGATCGCTCATGAGGTATATTTTTTAATTATACTTCAGACTTTTTTAAAAATGTTTGTAAAAAAAAATCATTAAATAAATTTCTAAATATAATTATAAAAAATTTTACTACGCGCTTAACTCTTCTTGATCTCATTCTTTAATAATTAAAATTTAAAAATGAGTATTGTCAACATTACAAACATAAAAGTTTTAAATAATCCAGCTCTATTCACAGAAACATATCAGTTTGAGATTACTTTTGAATGTATAGCACCACTTGCAGAAGGTTAGAGAAATAATATGTCCATCCATCTATCTATCTATTTATTTATATTATATATATATCTTTTGTTTATGATCTATTGTTGTTTGTAGAAATAAATATTTTAAAATAAAAAATATTTATGGATAAGATAAATAAAGAAATATACGCGTATTAAATTATTTTGAGAAACAAATCTTTTTTATTAATATATTTTACGTGTTATTATTGGAAAATTCAGAATTTCTGTTATTTTATATCACAAATAAAGTCATAACTAATAAATTTATATTTCTTTTTATTTACAGATTTAGAATGGAAGATCATTTATGTTGGTTCTTCAGAAAGTGAACAATATGATCAAGTTCTTGAAAGTATTATGGTTGGGCCTGTCCCCCCCGGCATTAATCAATTTATATTTGAGGTAAGGAATTTTGCGTACGAGAGATTTGTTGCGTGTGGTATAATAAATGATCAAGTAAACAACAGATAATTTATATCTATCCTTTCTCCACTTCTACTTTCTTTTTTTTTCTCTATCCTCATCTATATTATAATTAATCGGTTAGGCACCAGCACCGAACGTAGATCAAATACCGTCAAAAGACATTTTAGATGTGACGGTGATTCTCATTACTTGTTCATATAAAAATCAAGAATTTGTTCGTGTAGGATATTATGTTAATAATGAATATGTTGAGGAGGCATTGAGAGAAGAACCACCAGAAGATGTGGCATTGGATAAACTTTATCGCAACATTTTAGCAGATAAGCCAAGAGTTACAAGAATGCCTATTAAATGGTTAATAATTTATATATTGTATTGTATTATATTATGAATGTATATTATTATTTATGTAAATATTATATTTATAATTTAGGGATAATGAAGAACTTCCACCGTAAATAAACAAATACCTTAAATAAAAAGCTTCCTCTTTATAATATCAATATATATATATTACATTATCATCAATATCAAAAAAAACAACACCATTTATATTTGTAAATTTATTTAATGAATCCGCTCTACAATCACTTTAATAAATGCGCGTCTTTGAGCTCCAACAGCTGATGGATCACGATATTCAAGTGTACATGGAATTGATTCTGATAATACTTTCCACTAATAACAGGAAGATCAGGAAAACCATCCAATTTGTAATCGCCTATGTATACATATATATATTAATAATTATTAATAGCAGCAAGAGACACCAACTCTAATTGGAACGAGGAATATTCCTTTGAATGATCAATCAATCTCTGATACCTGCCATCTAGTAATCTATATATTCCATATACATGATATTTTTAATCGTCATAGTTTACATCATTATCTGAATCATTTTTTGATTAAATCTAGAGTCATCATCAAGCTCACATGATCTTCTACAATTTGTTTTATAAAGGTTTTTTTTTGCTATAAGCTATATGAATAACATATTCAGGTCTGGTAATACCATATCAATTGCTCCATCTCCACCTATTTATATATAAACAAACAAATTAATTTGAGCAATAAAAAATTATTAAATCCACTATTATTGCTATTACCTATTATTATTATTGCTAACGTATATTAGCAAATCTATTTGGTCTACGTGTGAAGCAGAAATGAAAATTCGAGGAACTAATTTTAAAAAAGTCACACAATGTCCTGACTATACTTGTTTGAATAACGACAATTACGGCAAATTCGGCATTACTATTACGTATAAGCAGTAAATAAATTTTTGCATGAGACACTAAAGTTGTAAAAGTCGTCACCGTAATACCAATACCGTAATACGTAATACAGTAAATACCTAATAATAACAATAACATGAATACCATAATAAGTAGTGTACGTGAACCAAAAAAAAAAACTCTAAATAATAAATATATAAATATCGATGCAATGTTTCACCGAATTGCCTATGACTCACATTGAGCATTTGCTTCAGCATTTTACATTATTCGTGAACTACTCTTGGGGTAGTATTACGTTAATTATGCATAATGATTATATGCATAAAAAATTGCGATTAAGACTTATTATTTATTATTATAGAGAAGATCCATTTATGAAATCAAAATTCGCACGTTTACTTTTGATTAAAAAATTTTGTTACACGAACTTTGAGTCACGAGGAATCTTTTTCAAAACCATTGTCAACAAGTAAATGCTCATGGAATATAAGATAGTCAAAAAAATGCTAACAATACGTGATTATAAATTTTATTTGCTTTGTAAAGAGATATAGATGCGTTCAAATTTATAATATTCGTTATTGAAATCGTTTGTTTTCCAAATATTGATAACTCTTGCAAAGCTGCGCAAATAACATATTTACTTGGCCATATATTTTTAAATAGTTAAGTTTTTTATAGACAATATATAGATAACACGAGGTTGCTTCTTTAATAAATCTAGATTAATGTATCAGGTAATTTACAGTAAGTATATAAGTTTATTAAATTGAATGATGCTAATCTTATAGCATTAACCACAAGAATAGATCATCCATGATGATGGCAATTTAAAACTTGAAGCTTTTTAAAAAAAAATACTCAATAAAGAAGACCAAATTTAGCACAATTTCCGCATCAGTGAAAATTTAAAGAACAAAAGGCTTTACTAAATTTTTATATTTTTTATGCATCAATAATAAATAGAGTTGTCATTATTCACTTTTAATTAATAGCCGCAAAAAAAATTAAGAAAGAACAATAACATACATGGAATAGAGGTTATGAATCATCAAAAGGAAATAGTCATTGTCATTATTATAATAATCAGCAATCACACAAATGGCAGTGGAAGCAGTATTAGATTAACATTATGTGCTCAGATACATTACTCACAGCAGTAAGGATTACGCAATTTGTCATTAGTATTAGTTATATGCCAATGTTATACACAGTATGATTATTGGATTGATTCTATATAACTATGGTAACAGGTATATTGCATGTAGATCTTACATTTGTTGTCATTTATTTCAATTTGTGGAAAGAATTGATAAACTTTCACAAAAGTCATCTGAGAAAACACAAATACAAGGGTCGGGATGAAAATTGATTTTGTTAAAATTATTTTTTTGAATAAAAACTAAAGTTGGCAGAAATGAGTATAATGAAAAATATGCGAATTAATGTTAATAAATAAATATTGTAAAATTAATTTTTTTTTATTCATCAGTAACGCAGCCTTCAGTAGCTGATTTAACATTTTTGATGTATTTGTATAAAGTTCCTTTAGTAAATTTGTAAGGAGGGGTTTTCCACATTCTACGTCTCTCTTCAAGCTCATTATCACTAACATCAACATCAATAGATTTATTCTCTGCATTTATAACAATTTCATCACCATCTTTCACTAATGCTATTGGACCACCCAATTGTGCTTCAGGTGTAATATGCCCTATTATAAATCCCTATATTCATAAATTTTAAATATTAAGTATGGATAAATAGATAGATATAATATTTTTTCCTAATTGTACTTACATGACTGCCACCTGAAAATCTTCCATCTGTTAATAATGCAACATCGTTACCAAGTCCTGCACCCATAATAGCGCTAGTTGGAGTTACTACAAAACAAATTTAATAATAATAATAATAAAATTAATACATATATATAAAAAGTGAATTTATATAACTTTTATATAACTCGATTCCACTTACACATTTCAGGCATTCCAGGACCTCCTTTAGGACCTTCATACCTTATAATTATGACATGACCTTTCTTAATTTCATTTTTTTCCAATGCTTTTAACATATCTTCTTCACCATCAAAAACTTTTGCTTTGCCTTTAAATGTCAAACCTTCTTTACCGGTAATCTTTGCCACAGAACCTTCAGGTGCCAAATTACCTTTAAGAATATGTATATGACCTGTTGATTTGATTGGCTTATCCAATGGATTTATTATGTTTTGATTGTCAAATGAAATTGGTGCAATTGATGATAAGTTTTCTGCTAAAGTTTTTCCAGTCACTGTTAACACATCTCCGTGAATTTTATTATTATCTAAAAGGTATTTTAAAACAGCTAAAAAAGCAAAATCAAAATTATAACTATAATTATAATTGTGCTTTATTCATATCCTCATATGATGAACTAGAGAGTTTACCTGGTATGCCACCAATTTTATGCAAGTCTTCCATAACATATTCACCACTAATGTATAAATATATTTTAATAAAATAAATAATTTAAAAATATATATTGTGGAGAAGGGGTACAACAAATACCTTGGTTTTAGATTTGCCAAAAAGGGGGTATCATCACTAATCTTTTGAAAATCGTCCAATGTCAATTCAACACCAACAGTTCTAGCAATAGCAATCAAATGTAGAACAGCATTTGTAGAGCCTCCAAGTATCATCGTTAGCACAATAGCATTTTCAAAGGATTTTTTTGTCATGATATCAGATGGTTTTATATCTTTTTCCAACAAGTTACGAATTGCTTCTCCTGCTGACAAACATTCTTCTTCTTTTTCAGGATATTCTGCAGGTATCGATGATGAATAAGGTAAAGTCATTCCCATCGCTTCTATTGCTGATGCCACTATTAATCACATGTATTAATAACACGTAAATATTTATATTATATATATCCAAATATATGGGGCGTGGGAAAATAGAAACAAATCTAATTCCAATCTTGAGTCAGTAACACCCTATATGCAATTAGTTACAAGGGTTCTGAGAATCAGGATTTTGATAAAATCACTTATTTTTAGAAAATATCACATTACTACTTCCTGCGCCCCATACATCAAAAAAACAATAGCTTGCATACTTGTATTTGCAGTATACATTCCACCACATGCACCAGGACCAGGACAAGAATTTCTTATAATGTCAAATCTTTCTTCTTCAGTAATCTTTCCAGAAATATAACTGCCATATGCTTGAAATGCTGATACGATATCCAATTTACCCAATCCACAAGTACTTTGGCCTGGTTTGATTGTTCCACCATAAACCATTAACGAAGGCCTATTAATCCTACCCATTGCCATTAAACAACCTGGCATATTTTTGTCACATCCTGGCAATGATATATTGGCATCATACCATTGACCACCCATTACCTTATAAATAAATATTCTATTAGATTATTACATAAATTGTTGCTTAAATACCATTATATTGTATCGTAATCATCATGATCTTCATTTTGTTTACTTACAGTTTCAATTGAATCAGCAATCAAATCTCTACTAGGTAATGAATAGCTCATACCTCTTGTTCCCATGCTAATACCATCGCTTACACCAACAGTATTAAATCTGTAGCCAATCATTCCTGCCTTTTTGACACCTTCTTTAACTTTCATGGCCAGATCTAATAAATGCATATTACATGTGTTGCCCTCATACCATCTATTTTATTCCCTCCCCAAAAAATATTATTACAATTATTAATTATACGTTTACTCATTCATATTTTTGTATTATTCATTTTAAAGATTTTCTTACATACACACTACTAATACCAACTTGAGCTTTATCCATATCTTCAATTGACAAACCAGTCCCATATACTATTTAGTCATAGAAAACAAATTATTATTTAGAGATACTTAATCAATGATCAATTGATCAATTGAACAAGAAACAACTTTACACATTGCTTGAGATGCTCCTTGAGACTTTGGTTGAGTAATATTTTTGCTGATTTTATTCAATTCTGATGAGGTAGAATTTGATGATGAATGTCTAATGATTTTTGACGATGCCATTTTATATCTAGAAATATTTTTAAAAAGAATAGAACAAACAATTTAATAAAGAAGCAAACGCATAAAATCATCCATTTTATAATATATTATATACATTTGGACTTGTCCTGCAGCAACGAATTGACCTGCACTATTTGAACTTTTTCTTGCAATGTTTGACATCATTATCGGATAAAATTTTTTTTGCAGATCTAATCTGAAAAAATTTAATAAATAAATTTATATATAATATTTGTTACACGCGTTATTATTCATTCTCCTCTTTTAGTAGTTTAACAATAAACAAAAATTAACACATGAAGACAGCGGAGTTAAAACACGCTCACTTTTTAAAATTTATTTTCTATAAATAATGAATTCATTTATACAAATAAATATTTAATCCTATCGATTTTCCTTTTCCTTCGTGCATTTTTATTTTTATTTCGAGAAAATAAAAACTATTTAAAATATTAAAATTTAAAAAATATATATACAATTTTTATTTATTTTACAAGAATAAATCGTTCTAGTCATGAGCTCTACTGGACAAACCAATGTGGGTGATGATGGAAACGATGATCAAAGTTCGTCCTCATCGGAGACGACAACTTCCAGTCTAGTTCAAGAATCCTCCGGTTCATTTCAAAATGATGACAATGGAAGTGATAAGAATGATGATGGTGGTGATGATGAAAATCATGATATTAGCACTCCTTCAGAAATTGGTCCAGGTAATATAAATACTAAAGATAATTCTAATGAAAACCAGCAACAACAAACTGGAGCTTCTTCATCATCTGTTAGAGGATTTCTCAACAAATCTGTTAAACTTTTCAGCTCACGCGATGATGATGATAAGAATAAAGAAAGTATTAAAGCATATTTTCATGTTCATTTTCCATCAAACATTGAAAATAGAGGTGAACCAGTTATATGTTTCTTTTCAGGACAAAATGAAAATATAATGCCACTCAAACAACCACATAAACGTAATCATTTACATTCACATACAACTTATTGGGCATTTGAAATTGCAATTCCAGTTACTTTTTTTAATGAAAAAAAAGAAATCATATATAGATATGGTTTGTATGTTCGTTACAGAGATGATGCTAAAGTTTTTTATGAAGGGTTGGATGAAGATAGGATTTTAAGAGCAAAAAGTGGAAATTTGTATGATATTGTTGGTAAAATTAATTTGCCAACTCGTTGTTATTTCACTACTATGATCGAAGATTTTCAATTTTTGTATATCATTGTTGAATCATTGAACTCCAATAATCTCAAGGAAAAACTCGAAGAGTATCAACTAATCAGTAAAAATTTTCCACTTACAACCAAAAATTTCACAACCATAAGATATATAGATGAAGTCATTAAAGATAATAAATTAAGGGAAAAAAGAATTTTTTGCCTTATATTAATAGGTCATTATATTATCCAACGTCAGTTTGAATTATTTAGTGGTAATCTATTTTTACCTTCAAATTTTGGATCAATTTTATTACTTGATGCAATTGAAAAAATTCAGCCGGACACTTTACCACCTGGATATGAACAAGAAATTACATTGGCAGTATCTGCCATATGTCGCCACTTGGCCAGCATAAATAATTTTGCATGGCTTAAAATTTTCGCTTTAGCAGATATTGTTGACCCTAATTATAATTTCTTGGATGCTTTGGTTGATATTGATTTAAATGATGAACAAATGAAAAAATTATTTAAATATCTTCCTAAGCAAGTTTTAATTTATGTTGATAGAATTGAAGATGATTTAATTTATTCTAAAGTTGCTCAGGTAAATAATCTAAGAGTTTTATTATTTTTGATATATATATCCCTTTTTATTCATCCTTGAATAAGTTTGATTAAATATTTCATTTTTATAAAGTGGCTGATTGGATTATGCAACACAATGGACACATTAATTACAATGTGGAATGACTTTATTGATCATAAAAGAGAAAAAGAGGAATTAATAGTATATGCCTTCACTAATTCATTTCAAAGAACTATTGCTTCTGACGGTCCAGTAGATTTATTGGAAGATTATGAAAAAGTTCCCGATAATTTGAAAGAAATATTGGCAGAACCATTCCGTAAAAAAGTTTTAAGTTTATTGAATGCTCAAATCAATTGGACTGAAGTATACATAAAACCAATTTCAAAGTTATTTTTCAACAAGTTGCTAAAATGGAAGAAAGCAGATGTTATCAATTCACTAGATTGTATTTCTAAATCAAATCATCCAAGATTATTAATTTTCTTTACTAAAATATTGGATCACTATCTTAAATATTTTAAAGATAATGTAGATGAAATAGATGAAGAGGATGGTAATGAAGAAGATGAAGATGAAGATGAAAAAAATGAACTTGTTGAAAAAAAAGAGCTGAAAGATGAAGATATCCCTTTTATTTGTGGTCGGTGGTATCAAATGAGATTGAGTAAAGTCAACGAATCTTCTAAAGCTTATGTTAATGAGGAATGGAAAATTGTGCATTCAATATTATATGATTTTTCTTACATTTTGCCAATAATTGAAAATCAAAATGAAATTTACAAGAAATTATTCATCTTTACCATGGACAAAATTAAAAATTTTACTGAAGTTAGAGTGTTAAGTACTACTTCACATATCAAAGAATTACATCCAAAAATTATACATAGATTTGGTATAATGATCAAAGAAATGCTAAATAACATGATAAAAATCCCTGATGTACATCTTATTACTAAAATGTCTCATGTTTGTGGATGTTCTAAAGATGATTTGTTTATACCTGATAGGTACTTTAATTATTATTAATTATTATTATTATTATTAGGGAATTGCTATTTCTCACCGGTGGTGATTGTCACCACCTAAGGAATTATACAATTTATAATTAACCCCAACCCTAACTCCGCCCCACGCAAATTTAATTCCTTAGGTGGTGACAATCACCACCGGTGAGAAATAGCAATTCTCTTATTATTATTATTATTTAAGAAATTCATATATCTGCTTGCATTTATTTTTTCATAGTTTGTGTGAAGAAATATTATGTCATATCTTAACTAAATTACGTGACCATGTGAAATTCTCAGATCCATTAGTATTATTGAAATCAGCAAAATTTTGGATTACTGTATTCAATGCTAAGGGTTGTACAGAAAAGTTTTTAAACCATTATCTGCTTCAAAAAGTTTTTAAAAATATTCAACACTTTATAGAATTAATTACTAATAAGAATATTAGCATTGCACAGTTACAAGAACTTCTTAAATATGATAAGGATCTAGTTAAAAATCTTTTTAAAATCACTTCAACAAGCAAGATTCCTGATGATTCAAATGTGGATGATGATTTTGCTAATGAACTAATTTACAACAAAGGGATTGACCTATTAGAAAGCCAATGTAATAATTTTGAATTGACATTGAATCAACTTGCCATATTTTATGCAAAGTTTTGTCCAATTGAAAAGGTCAATAATATCCAATCATTTTTAAATGACATAAAAGAAAAGGCTAGAAATTTGGATCAAGTCAAATTAAAGGATGCTTTGAAGCCAAAATATTGGCACCTTCATCATCAATCATTAAATTCTGCAAAAAAATGTTATCAATTAGCAAATTCACAAACTTTTAGAAATGTTTTTGACAGAATCATGAATGAAAAAGCAAATGCAAATATAACAACTGAACATGTTGCCAAAAGTTTAATTCCACAAACTTTTAATAAATATAATGAACTATGTAAACAATATGCTGATTGGAAGAAATTGAAATGCTCAGAAGGATTTGTACTCTGGGAAAATGTTGAAAATGTTGAAATGGAGTTGGAATTGATGGATGAGTACGTAAAAGTAAATCATAAAGAATTATTAGTTACCACATTAAAATATTTATCTGGAGTTCCAAAGCAAATTAGAAGATTACAACAATTATCTGATGTAGCTATTATATTTAAAGTCATTCACACCAAACAAGATTGGTTAAGCAAAATATTGTTATTGCTTAAAGGCGATTATTTATGGCTAGGAAAATTGAATGAGTTTTATGAGATAAATAATAAACATTTATTAGGTCTGGATGATAAATACTGGGAATTGATTGAACAATTATCTCTGGCAAGAGAATTTGTTTCATTCTTACAGTCAATTGCTGAACATGACATTAAGAATTTAATTAATGGTGTAGAAGAACATTCAGATGGAAGTCTTGTACAAGAAGATACTGTCTCATCTCTTATCCAAGTCAAACAATCCATATTACCATTAATGAAGAGCTCTCAAAACCTTACTTTGAAAGATTTTATCAAAGAATTATCTAGTATTAGTAAAGCAAACCCTTCTTTGTCAAAGAAGGTTGAATTGTGTAATGGTCATCATATGGAATTAAAAAATTTTTACAATAATATTTCTAATAAAGGTGAGGCTGCAAGAGCAAAAATAAGTAATGCAGTTAGAAAAGGCATCTACATATTTCAACGTATTAATGATAAAGATGAAGACAAATGTTCTGTAACAATGACTTATCCATCAAAAGTTAAAGTGAGTCCCAGTTACACTCTCAATGACTTGTATGACTTACGTGGTAGAGCTTTACTAATAGCAAAACCTTCTGCATCAATTGATATCAATGATAAAGAAAAAATTAGTAAAGATATTATAGATAAATTTGTTTCTCAAGTTGATCTGGCTCAAGAAATCATCAACATTGCTACAAAACTTATTCAAATGGGCCATTTTGATTATAGAGAATTTAATGTTTCTATTGTGGGGAATCAGCCATGGGATAAATTTGTTTTGAAATTGAAAAAAGATTTAGGACAATGGCATGTATTTTATTAACAATAATAATTATAACAAAAATTTTTTTTAAAAAAATATCTATATTTACTTAAAAAATTTTACATAAAATTTAGGGAGGATATTGTTAATAGATTACAGGAACAACATTATTATCTAACATTCTTTCCAGTTAGACATATTCTTAAATTTTACGATTATTTTATGAATTATATTGACTTGGAAAAAAGATATGCCAATAAACAAGATGAATTTGAATTGTTTAAAAAAGCAAATAGAGAAGAATGTGAAACATTAATTAAATTTGTTAATATTAATGCTACATTGCCTCCACCACCATTACCAAACAAAAAAGATACTTCAGATATTTCACATCAACATAATGACTATTATAAAATGTTATCTGAAATTGGTTTGAAGCTATTTAACATTTTTGAGTCAATTCAAAGAAGTCCTAGGAAAATTAAAATTCCAGTTGAAAGCATTATGTCAGATGTTGTTCAACCTGGAAAATTATTTGTAGCTTCATGTGATGACAAATTTTTAGTTCCTAATATTATCATTTCGTTATATGTCAACCACCAATTTTATCCTGAGCCTTGGCAAATATTAATCTGTACACCATCAACTACTATGGAAGAATTGTCCATATTTATTAAAAGATGTTTCTTTGCATCCAAGAATAATTATGGTGATAGTTTATTTTGTATTGCCAATTTAGAATTATTGGATTTTGAATTTCAATACAACTTGGTAAACATGATTAGAACAATGAGAGAATCAGAAGCAAATGATTATTATTTAGCATTGATTTGTTGTAAAAAAGATGGGCTTCACCATCACATTTTGGATCAATTTAGTCAGGATGTACACACAACAAAAGGATTAGGCACTGAATCTATGAAATTAATTTATAATGAAATTTGTCATAATAAAGTGGTGGTCGTTTCTTCAGGATTGTCAGGTCAAGGCAAAACTGAATGGATAAGACAAGAAAGTTTTAAGACAGGCAAATTTATAAAAAGCTTTCTAATCAGTGATGAGATTGATTTTTGTAATCTTGTCAAGAAATTTAGAAAATTCAAATTAAGAAAAGTTGACTCTTTACATTTAAATATCATTTCATCTGATTTTCCATTAGATGTTAATATATTTTTATTCCAGCTATTAACATTAGGAGTTGTATCAAATAATATGGATATTGCATTATTACCACTAACACCTGTTTTTATTGAAGTTGCATCAACTATGGGACAAGAATTGTTTAATTCCTTGAAATTTGTAAATTATCTACCATCAAAATTTTTGGTTTGGTCTATCAATCAATTAATAACGTCAGAGGAACTAACCTCACCATTACAAATTGTCTCTCTTTATCTGGATTATTATGATAAATCTTCATTGGACAAAAATGACTTAATCTTAAAAGGAACAAAATCAACTCATTTAGTTCCAGTCACAGAGGCCAGGTGTCAAGAATTATTAACAAAATATTTATTCAAAGACAAAAACACTGACATATTTTCATTTAGATTTATTGAAATATTTGTTAATGTTTTGGCTGATCAGTTGGTTAGATTGTCTTCAAGCTCATTTTTCAAGGTTGAAAATATTAGATTGATGGTGAATGACAAATGTGGTGTTCGTACAACATTGGTTCAGACTTTAATTGATGTATCAAAAGATTTTGCTACAAAATCAATCAAAACAAGATCTGCTCAAACAAAGTCTCTTCAAAATAAAGAGGATGAATTAAGTACAATTGTGCAATGGGATGACTCAAACCATTTATTGGTATTTTTTATGTCACAATTGCCTGATTCAATTTGTGCATTATACAGAGATAAAACAAAAGTTCCAGATAATGTTAAAAATTTGTTAAAAAGCCAATGTATTGGTGATGATGGTTCAAATAATTATGTGTGGAGTTTAGATGATTATCATACCATGTCAACTGATGAATTATTAAAGAAATTAGAGTGCTTGGCAAGAAAAACCATGCATTCAATTCCATATCATCCTTATGCATTATCAGCAGACAACTTACTTAAAATGGCTTTGATTTTATTAAGAGCAAGAGCAAATATTCCTGTCGTTGTATGTGGAGAAGCTGGTTGTGGAAAGGTAATAATTATTATAATATAATCTTAATAAATATTTATAATAATATTTTTTGATTTTCTTGTTATTTTTATATTTTTATAAATTATAGACAAGTTTAATTGGATTTTTAGCAAAAGTAGTTGAAGTTGATTTTTTAGCATTAAATCTTCATGCTGGAATATCTGAGCAAGCAATATTTGACTTTATGGATAAAGCAGAAAAAACAGCAGAAAAAGGTGAAACCTGGGTATTTTTTGATGAAATCAATACGTGTATACACATTGGACTATTATCAGACTTAATAGCTCACAGAATGCTATTTGGGGTGCCAATTCATGACAATATTAGACTTTTTGCTGCTTGTAATCCCTATAGGTTGAGAAATAAAAATATTTCTCAAGTAGGCTTGATTGCAAAAACTGATGAAACCTATGAAGAAAGAAGTAAACTTGTTTATCAAGTCAAGCCATTACCTTATCAAATATTAGATTATGTATGGGATTATGGTATATTAAAACCAAATGACGAATTGAAATATATACAGATCATGGTATCAAATGCATTGAAAGGATTAGCAGATAACAGACTTGCTCAATTGTTGTTTGAGTCTCAAAATTATATTAGACACGTTGAAGAACCTTATAGTGTATCATTACGTGATGTAAAAAGGGCTATCAAATTAGTAAAATTCTTTCATACTTCATTACAAAATCGTCCTCCTGTAAGGAAACATGGTCCCAAATACCCTCCAAATGGATTTCCTGATATAATTATAAGATCTTATGTATTAGCATTGGGGCTTTGTTATCAATCAAGGATATATGATCAAAAATTGAGAAAACAGTATAGAATAAAGATGTGTGAAATATTTTATGAATTTAAAGTCCCATTGAGTGAAGAATCATTTGTAAAAATCATTAGGGATGAGCAAGAAGATTATATTTCCAGAATGACATGTCCACCTAATACTGCCTTTAATGAGGCATTATTAGAAAATGTTTTAGTAATGGTTGCTTGTATATTGTGTAAAATCCCTGTATTTATAATTGGAGCTCCTGGATCTTCTAAATCATTGGCCATCAGACTTGTAAGTCAAAATCTTCGTGGATCTGATTCAAATGATGAATATTTCAGAACATTACCACAAGTGTATTTGATTCCACATCAAGGTTCAGCATCTTCAACATCAGAGGGCATAGATAAAGTGTTCCAGAAAGCCAAGAAATACCAGGATACTGGCTCAGAAGATTTTCCTGTTATTAGTGTTGTGTTGCTTGATGAAGTTGGATTGGCAGAAATAAGTCCCTTCAACCCATTGAAAGTTCTTCATTCATTACTTGAACCAAGTTATCCAAATGATGGGCCATCTGTGTCAGTTGTTGGCATATCAAATTGGAGATTAGATAATAGTAAAAGTAGTAGAGCATTATTGGTCCAAAGACCTAAATTTAATTTGAAAGATTTAGTTGATACAGCTGATCGTTTACTTAAGAAAAAAACTCATGGCATAATTTCTAAATCATTTTTAGAATCACTTGCTGAAGAATATTTGAATTATGAGAAAAATGGCCAGAAATATGAACATTTCCATGGATTACGTGATTATTATTCATTAGTAAAATCTTTATCAATGGCTGAGCTAAACCCTGAAAACATTCAAATGGCACTAATAAGAAATTTTGGTGGAACTGATATTAACAAACAACTTGTTGAAGAACATTTTGAATATGTATTAAAAACATTTAACAATCAAAAAAAATGGGAATATAAACCCATACCAGTTGAAAAATTAATTAATGCAAATATTCAAGATGAAGGAGCAAGACATTTGATGGTCATTGGAAAAAGTGAATCAATAGTAAATTTATTAAATTATCAATTGAAAATGCAAAATTTGGATCCTGTTGTTATTCTGGGTTCACAATTTCCTGAAGATCATGATGACTACTCTTATAATATATTGAGTAGAATTATGATGTGTGTTGAAGCTGGAAGACCATTGATCTTAACAGATTTGGAAATAATTTATGGAAGTCTTTATGACTTGTGGAATCAAAGCTATGTCGTTGTTGGAAGTTCAGATAATCCTAAATATTATGCTAGAGTTGCTCTTGGTGCATATGCAAATCCTTTACTTCATGTTGAAAAAGGTTTCAGGTGTATTCTTGTTATGGATGAAGATAAAATAAAAGATGCTGATCCACCACTTTTGAATCGATTTGAGAAACAAAAAATGTCTATTAATGATATCATAAGTGAACAACAACAATTTCTCGTTGAAAAGCTCAAATTCTGGGTAAAACAATTGTCAACTGTTGCCATGGAGAGAAATGATGCATCAGAATCATCTTCATCTTCTTCATCAGTAGTTAAAATTTTTGATGTGAATGATCTTTTTATTGGATATGATCCAAATGAAACTTTACAAAGCTTGGTAATAGATGTAACAAAAACAAACCCATCTTATAATGAAGAACAAATAATTGATATATGTAAAAGGAGATTAATTGCAATTGCATCATCAGATGGTATAGTCAGATCTGAGAAATCTAATGCTGATATTGATGAAAAAAATTATTTGAAAAAAGTGTTCTTCAAACAACAATGTAATGATCATCTATTAAGTTATTTCAAAAGCATATTAGATACAGAAAAAAATCTTATACAAGGAGTAGTTGAGGAGCCAACAAAAAATGTCAATCCTGATGGAACACTAGTGATCATTAACACTTTTTCAAATATTAATACAGATATTAAATCATATTTACAAGGCTTTATCAAATGTCAAATAGAAAAATTATCAACATTTAAGACTGAAGCTGAATTACAAAAAAGAATACGAAATTTCTGGTTTGAATCAACAGATCAAATGTTGATATTACAATGTGACGTTACATCAGTTAATGCTGGTTGTATCAAGTTAGCTAAATTTATCATAGAACAGCATCGTGATGAATACTTGACAAAACAAAAAAGTAATAGAAAAAAGAAAGCTGTTAATGAAATTATTGTACCAACAAAACATGCTTGTATAATATTACATATTCATAGAGAACAACATGAAAAAGATGAAATACCAGTGTCATTCAATTTTATATGTGGCTGGGATCAAATTACAATTGAAAATTTGACTCAACAAGAAAATTCTTTATCATCTTTATTGGATGGTAGTATATCTGATGTTATACAAACCAGTTATAAATTTGAAGAAGTACTTAGGCAAGAATTATTATGGTGTTTGTTACGTATAAAATATCCCTCAAATAAAAGATCTGTGGACCATATAAAAACATTGAATGAAGAAATTATCAAACATCAAGAATTTATTGATTTATTAAGTGTCCATATACAAAAATGGCTCCAAGCAAATTTACAATATGATTGGCAATATGAAGTGGCATCAACAAAGAAATTACTTTACCCTCATTCATCATTTACTACAGCTTTACAAATGCATATTCGTCAACGTGTTCGAATACCAATTGCAAAAATTTTATGTGCACTTGAAAATTATCAAGTAACAAGAACATTCTTTTTACTTGCTAGTAAAAAAGATGAATCTGTAGAACACAAAAGTTTATATGATTTTTGGATAAAGATGTTCAATAACCCAGAAATAATTTCAATAGATAATTCAACAGAACTTCAATCAGACAAAAACATCATCATGCCTAATAATGTTTATGTTTTACAATTTCCATTTTCTTATTATCTGGCTAAACAAATTAATGGATTTAAAAAATTATTTGAAGAAGAAATTAAAGTTTTATGTGAACAACATGATAATTTAGATCCAACAACAGGAGAACTTTATAATGACATTATGGATAATTTTATTTTAACATTTTCTAAAAACATTTTATCATCGGCTCCAATACTTAAGAGTTCACCATTAGATTTTGCATCTGATTTATATTTCAAAGATTTTGTTACTATTACAGCTTTAGATAATAATCTTGATCCAGAGATTTTAGAATTTGTTTTTAGTGCAAAATTGGGATCTGAGAAAATATTAAACCCAATTTACCTTCATACATATTTATGGAGAAATATACATACCATATCTACAGAAGCACAATTACTAAAGGTTTGTCCTGATATAATTGATAAAATTAAAGAAAAAGATATCATTGATTTGAGGTTTGGAGAATTCTTAATGAAAAATGTATCAGAATCAATGTTAGACAAACTTACAATAGGAGAATTGTCACGTTATCACATTGAAGATTGGGTCTATGAGGTTGACAAAATCATGCTATTAAGTAATAATATCAAAGGAGCATCAACTTTACCATTATTTCAAGTTTTGAAAATTTGTTATGATCTTATACCATCAATATCAAATAAAGATCTTCAAGAAATTATAAATGCTGGCAAAAATAGTAATAAGAGCAATGATATTATTTATAGCAGTGGTATTGGTAGTAGTAGTATTATTGGCAATGATAATAACAAAGAATTACTTTCAAATGAATTCATAGTCAAAACACTTGAAACATTAAAGAAACTTCAACCTTATGAAAAGAATTTGGCTATATTTAAATCTTTTTTAATGAAATGTTTGGAAATTGTACCATCTGAATCCAAAGTTAGTCTTTATCTTTATGATAGAATTCTCTCACAACCATTTCCACTGATGGAACCAATTGTAAGATGCATATTTGCAAATGAAAAAAAACAATATCCAAATCTTTTCTTGGACATTATTGAAAATCCCAGAAAAGTTTTATCTAAATCAGCAAAAATAGCAGGCATTAATAAATGTCTAGCTGAACTTGACTCACCAATATCAACATTATGTTGTGACGTTATTCAACAAAATTTTTTAAATAATTTGGATGTGTATGTGTCATATCAAAAAGCAATAGAATCATTGTATGGTAATAATATGGAACCATTACAAATTATAGTATCAATAGCTTTTCTCAAGTTATTTGTAACAAAGCTGTGGGATGCTATTATTAAAGATAATGATTTAGTGAAAACTAGTAATACTTTATTTTTTGATATAGGAGAATTTAATGGACCTGAAGTAGTTAACACTTTAAACAATAGTTTGAGTAGAGATTATCCATTGATAAAATCATTTAAATTTTATTTCTTAAAAGAATTACGTCAACGAGGATTTTATTTCAATGAAATCAAGGATTTCTGTTTAGCATTGAATCAAAATAGTGTGCATTGGTTTTCTGATCTAAAATGGGATCTGGATCATGTTGGTGTCTTGCCATTTAATCCATATTGGGTATTAGATGATTATCGTATTATTGAAAAGACCTTTAAAGCAGTAACTGATAATAATACAGTACACTTTAAAAAATATTTAGAAATACTCAAAAATGATTCAACTTTAACATCACGTATAGCCTTTTTTGGATTTATCTTTACAAGATTACAATTACCAAAGTCAGCTGGTGAATTGAGACATGTGGAAAGTGAAGTGAATGAAATTTTACAAAAAGGATTTGAACTAAATCAAGTAGAGCCATTTTATAAAAAATTAGTGAAAAGCTTAATAAATAATGAAATTTATATTCTAAAAGTTGACCAACAATTCATAGGCAATTTAGAAATGAAATCAGTTATAGCACATATTATAGGATTGTACTCATCTTTGCCATCTAAGGCATCTAGATTATCAGCCTATTTACATAAGCTAGATCAGTGTAATGATGAGTTTATTTTAACTTGTCCACCTTACTTTGGTTATACAACTACATCTGAAACTGGTATATCAAGGTAATAAATAAATGCATATGCAATTATTTTTCATTATTATATATTAATTTAATATTTTATTTATTATATAGATATTCATGTAAATGTGGATCTAAATATGTTATTAATGAGGATGGAGGAACAATTGTAGAAGGAACATGTGTAGAGTGCAAGAATAAAATTGGAGGGGTTGATTATCAACCTAAAGAAGAAGATAAATTAATTAAAAAACAACAAACAGCAGAAACAGATGTGTCATATGGAGGATATGTTCCAGAAGTTCCTAATATCAACATAACCTACACCGTTAGAAATGGCTTATCACCATCATCATATCGTATTTTACATTTCATGGTCAATGTTGTGATTGGAGCACACTTACCATCAACAACAGCAATCAACTTTATTAAAAGACATGGAGATATTCAAGATCCTATTGTATACCTTTTACAACATATGGAAAATGATTGGAATGTTTTGATAAGAATGTTGGATCTTTCAGATGAAGAACTTGCATTATTGTTCCATGCAATATTGAATAGTATTAGTGAAAAACCTTATGAATTATCACGTGGACCAATTGAAAACCCAAGGCAAAGAGAAGACTGGGAAACAAGCTTTGCAAAGAAATATATCATACCATTTACTAAAAATGCTATGGAATCAACAACTCAATTTAGGTTCCTATTAGATGAATCAATGAATAAAGGCTCATTTGAAAGTAAGATTGTTGAAGAGGTTGATCAAACATCATCATCAATGGATAAGAAATATCATAAATCACATCTACCTAAACTTTGGAGATACATTAGTGAAAGTAGTTTTGATAATTTTAGAGCATATTATTGTGGAATTTTAGAACAACCAGTCACAAAATCATATCCATTTTTAACAATATTTTTCAAGCACCATAAGAAATTGGATATGGTTAAACATTTATCAGCCATTACAAAATTCGTGAAAATCTTATCATCAAGATTAGGTTATCGAATAACTAGATTGACTGCTAATAATATGTCCTTTAAAGAATACATGGTTTCTGAAACAAAAAGAAATATTGAACCACAAGAGCTTGAGATGTTTAAAAACTTATTCCGTGATTTTTCAGCATCATGGAATCAAGTGATTAAAGAAGCTGCTAAAAATGATGACAAACAATTGGTGAATATACCAGGAATGAATATGGAGAAACCAATAATCTTTGGATTAATTGATCCAAAAGATGATAGATCATTTGTATGTGGCATTGTAAAATATCTTGTAGAGATACAAAATAGTTTTTTGAGAGATGTTTTAACAATACCGGTTGGAAAATGTGAATCTATCAAGTTTTTACAAGAACCTAAAAATTATAATGTAGCAATGGAAAAGATGAATACCAAAATGTATTATTATTTACCAGAAGTTAAGTTGGACAAATTTAAAGAAAATAATTTAATCAATTATGAATGGGATGATAATTTGTTAATATATAGTCAAAGAAGTTTGGCTGCTGGACATGGACAAGAAATTATTTATGATTTGCAAAAAATTGAAGAGGAACTTGCAAAAAGACTGGTTTATGAGAAGTATTATATTGAGCAAAACAATGAAAACTTGTATTTGGAATCATTCCAATATCACATGGAAATGTTCCAAGAAAGCAATAAAATTCTTAATGATATTAAACTGTTAATACCACAGGAGATTATTCCAAATGATAAGACATCTTTAATAAATGAATCAATATCTAATAGCGAATTCGTTAATAAAGATAATACATTGAAAATTTTATCATTCTTGGAAATAATTTTATGTTTTATTAAACGAGCATCAATTGGTAATGGAGAAATATTGATAGAAGATTTTATTTATCAATGGACCAAATTATCATCATTAGTCGATGACAACAATGAATTTAAGAATATATTGGAGATAGGATTAAAACTTAAAAATATTATAGGGTTATATGAATTGATAGAAGATTATTATGCTAATGGAGTGATTGAACATATTAATGAGAAATATAAAATAATGATTGATAATAATGATTTGGAAAAGATTATTGAAAGTTCACTTAATTTTGAAGCAAAAATTACTGAAGAAACTAAGAGTTTACCAGCAAAATCATTTGCACTAGCATTAAAAAGATTTATGTTTAGATTCTTGACATCAGAATCAGTCAAAGAAGATGAATCATTAGGCAAATATTTAATTGACATGAGTTTCAATCTTTGGTCATCAGATATTAAAGAAGAATTGGTAAAAGAAAATTTCCCTAAATCATTATTGGTTGCACATACATTTGCCACATACAAATATATTTTGAAGAGAATTGAGGTAAAATAAAAAAAAATTTTATTTATATTAATAATATTTATAAAATTTACTAATCAATTAAATTATTTTATATCCTTTTGCATAATATAGGCGGAGAGAGATTTAAATAAAACCTTTATATCAACAGAATTTTCCTCAGGTCCTAGTGTGCAACAAAGAAAACCAAAAAAGAAGAATGTTAATAGATTTGACCTTGCATAGTTTAAAAAAGTTTTTTTTTGAAATTAGTTTCATTTATCTGTAATAGAAATTCAATATATTGTATTAATAAAGCTATAGTCCTCTATAGATCAAATTTTGTCACTTAAGCTTGATATTGAAAGTGTGCAATCCAAATTTGGTTAGTTAATGCAATTCACTTACAAAGTTAACCCAATGGCTTTTCTAGTGATTCTAATTATGTTGATTCTGGCCAATACAGTTGGAGGTTCTAACACTGTATTATTACTGGCATACAGCCTAATATAACAACCAGTTATATTGTTACCCAATTAAGGTTGCTTGTTGAAACTCCTCCAGAAATCAATTAGCAGGGTTTCAGCAAGTTACACATGAACTGTTTATTAGAGTTTCGGCAGAGTTTCGCATTTTGAGGTTTTGCCATTTCAGCATAGTTTCAACAGGATTTTTGATAAGATTTAATATAGTTTTGCACACCCAATATAACCCAAAGGATCTCACATTTTACAAAGCTGAAATCTGGAGCATATTGGGAGGATCTAGGTGATGATGGTTTGCCACAAAACAGTCAGTTGTGATTGAAAGATACTATAATCTTCATGCATGATTTCTAAATTTGGTAACGGGTTATTGCTTGACGAAATGTTACATAAAGTTGTAAACTATTACATCAAATTTGCTGCCATTGAGTCAAGTAAAATTGCTTTAAAGACTAATAAAATATAAAAGCTCACAAAAAAAACATCTTTTTTTTTTATATTTTTTCTTGAGTATCCAACCTCCCCTTTGTTTTCCCAAGGAGCTAAGTTTTTCTGCTGAATACAAAAGTTCAATTCCCACACACTCATTTACTACTAAACTCAAACATCTCTTATATTAATAATGTGATACATGATCAGAGTAGATAAAATCATCAATTAGGGATTTGGTACTTTATGTTCCAGGGTAAATTAATTTTAGTATATCAAATGAAATTTTATGCAAGAACTTTTTATAATTATTGCTGTGTAAATAATTATGGAAGTTTTATAAATGTCAATATTGATTGATTTACTTTGCATCTTTATCTTTATCCTTATTGTTAGTAGTGATCAATGAAAATTTCATCAAGGATAACTTGGAGCATGCTGCAACAAAACCAGACAAAGTGAACATTTATACTACCAACAATTTCAGGGATCAAAATTTAGTAATGTGATTATTAAAATTGTCCTTTTGTTATCCTCTTAATATTAGGCAATATGGGCATGGACAATAGAAACACACCCAATGTCCAAAATCATGATTTTGAGTTAATAATATTTCTATATGTAATTTGCCACGAAGATTAATTCTAGCTTAGAAACCATACCCACTTTACTTAATAAAATTTTGAGATATTTAAAGAAAACTGCAATACACATAAGAACTGAAAAATCGGATGATATACTAAAACAAGTAATGATAAACATAAATGTAACACGAATTTATTAATTTTGCTATTTATATATCAGTCGTGTGACATATCACAACAAATTATTTTCTATATATATATATTAATACAAAAAATTCTAACTCGCGTAACAAAATAGTTTTTAAAATAACTAATCATTTCCATAACAAACTTGGATCTCATTATTAAATCAAAGTAAATCTACATCATTAAGGCTTTCTAATAGTATTTTTTATATTAAAAAAAAGCTCTCTAGATAGAATTACAATTGTTTGAAATAATGTCACTTTTCACTTCAAAAGTTGAGATTCTTTTTCAGTTTTACATTAAATATTCTAAAAAGTGGCTAAAAGTATGTAGAATACTTTAAACTTTCATATGGGCATTATTTTATGGGGATTGTTTGTTATTAAAGTTTAGAGAAAATGATAAAAAACATATAAAATTCACAAAAGTTTTGATAAATGTGAAAATATGAAGGGAAATTTTATGGTTGAGATCACTGATTTTGTTATCCAAAATTAGTAAATGGTTTATTAAAATTAGTAATTTGGTAATAAGTTTTAACCCTGAGATTATTCTCTGTTTTATTAATAACTATCTCCAAAATTTTTTTTAAAGGATGATTACATAATGTAGAGTCTATAGGTAAATTTTGGTGAGGATAACTTCACAAAAATATATAAATTGAAGGTTTAAAGATATTTCCTAATATAAAACCCAATGTCAGTCATTGGAAAATTTTCAGAAATAAATGACTGATATATAATAAAATTTATTTAAATTTTTTAAATTTTTACATCTGGTTTTATGCATATAGTTGGATAATTCTAATAATTCTATTAAAATTATTATTACTATTATGGAATTATGGTAAGAAAATTCCTATTCCTATTCAGAATTATTGTGACCAAGACTATTATTTATTATTATTATGGTAATTACTGTTATACTGGTTTTTAAATTTTACAAAAATAAGAATCTTATATCCAATACTTTTTCACAACACAAATAATTAAATACATAAAAAATGACTTCTACACATTTATCTGAGAATAGGTTATATCCTAATCCAATTATCAACAAAAACGAAGAAATAGTTAATGAAACAGAAGTGTAAGAAAGTTTCTGTAACAGAAACATTGCCTAAAGGGCAATTAGAAAAATTTGAAAATACTTATAATTATATCTATATATTCATATTTATATTTATATATACATGTTCATCATTGTATTTATATATTCACATTCTTTTATTTATTTAATAGTAATAGGAAGATGGATGACATATTATATAATAGATACTAATTATCCAACTAGGACCCCAAACAATCTTAGGAGATGGTACATTTCAATTTTGGGTAGAAATGGCCCTCAAAATCGAATATCATTTCTTAATTAGGATAATTTTTGCGATGATCTTGTAAATTATTTCCAAAAATGGTAATAAATTGGGTATTTTTTCAAATGTACCATCTCCTAAGATTGTTCAGGGTCCTATCCAACTAGTCAAAGAAGGGTAAATAAAATATTAAACTATGTAAAAAAAAGTCTAGTCAATGTATTAATGATGTTTTGAGATAGAAAAGATAATATGATTTACCTTTATTTTTTTATTTCAAATTGACCAATAAAATTTAGTTTTTGTGTGATTATATATTTATTTATAAACTTTAGCATGAGATTAGAGATGGCTCTGCATCATAGTGCTGTCTTATTAATGAATCTAATCATTGATAAATTCATTTGTGCATCTATAGTTGGAGTCACATCTAGAATTATGGGAACCGGACCTGCTTACACAATTTCAGCTGTTCTTAAACAAAGATACTATGAAATCAATGAAGCTTTTATTTATATTGTGTTGAGAAATTGTGAATTAACCTTCAAAAAGTTAATCCAAACACAAAATAAATAATAATTTGTTTCATTAAATCAATATTTATTAAATTTTTAAAGAAAAAGATTATACAGTCAGACTCCTATACGGTCACAACTCCTATATAATCACAGAGCTTTTTTGGTTTGATTTTTATATATTAAATTTCATCATATACAATCACTTTCATAGTATAATCACTATCACTGATATTTTTTGGTTCCACTATATAAATATGCATCATATATAATCACTGATACACATGATTATGTCGATCTTTAACTAATAAATTGAAAAATTAGTATTACAAAAAAAAAATCTTATGGATTGTAATTTGTTCTAAAAATCATGTCATTATTATGTATTTATCATATATTATTTAATAAAAATTGCAAATAAAGAATAAATCATAAGTTTTTGTTATATAATATTGATTTTATTTGTATAAAAAGACCAAATATTTGCTTTAATAATTTAACATTTTTAGTAACTAATTAATTATGTTTCAAGAGAAGAAAAAACAAAAATGTACAGCTATAAGTGAATTATTGAAAAAAGAAATTTGCGTCTATTATTAAGAAAATGACAAAAAACCCACAAAGAAATAGCAGATTACTTTAGTGAAAAAAAACAATTAACAATTGACAGGTCAACAATAACAAAGATTTTATCTGATAAAGAAAAATGGATAAATATTTCATCTTCAACTCATTATAACATTTTTCGTCATAAGTCAGTGAAATTCCCTGATCTAGAAAAGGCCATGAGTTTTTGGATTAGTCAAGTTAGTGCTCAAGGTCTTGTTATTACAGATAAAGTGGTTGTAGAAAAAGTGAAAGTACTTGGTGAAAGATTGGGAATTGATGAAAATGATTTAGTAATTTTCAAATGGATGGTTATGCAGGTTCAAACAAAGAAATAATCAAAAGGCTGTAAGAATTCATGGAGAAGCTAATAGTGCACCCTTAGAAAATTTACCTTTGTTGAGAAATAAATTGCAAGAAATTACAAGCAGATATGATTTAGAAAATATTTTTAATGCTGATGAAACTGGCTTATTTTATTGTATATCTCCAAATCAAACTCTCTCTACTGGTCCAGTTTCAGGAAAAAAAAAGGTTTGCATGATAGAAACTAACTTGATTTAATTAATTTAATGAAAGCTAAGTAATTTTTTTTGTTAAAATTTAAAAAAGAATAAAGAAAGATTGACAGTGTTATTAACAACTAATGCAACTGGTGCAAGAAAACTTAAACCAATTGTAATTGGAAAGTCTGTCAACCCAAGATGTTTCAAAAATGTAAATATGTCTTTGTTACCTGTTATTTACAAGTCTACTCCAAAAGCATGGATGCGCAGTGATATTTTTGAAGATTGGTTAAGAAATTTGGATAATCAATTTCGAAGAGAAAGAAAACATATTCTGCTTCTAATTGACAATGCACCATCCCATGTGGATCCAGGATCAATCTTAGACGAACAACCTGAAGGTTATAATGAAATAAATGATTTACATTTAACCAATATTAAAATCTATTTTCTGCCTCCAAATACAACTGCTCATTTACAACCTATGGATGCTGGGATCATCAATAATTTTAAGGTAATATTCTATGGTTTATAAATAATGATAATACAAATTCACCTATGGACACAAATACATTATGATAAGTAGATACATTGGGTGTATTTAATCAAATCAAATTGTTATTATTACTTTAGGTCAATTACAAGCAATTATATATTAGTGACCTTATTAGAAAATTTGAACTTGGACAAAATTTTGAAAAGTTGGTTTATTCTTTTTTTTTATAAATTTAATTTTATTTATTTTAATTACACTTTTTTTAATATAGAAAATTGAATATAAAAGAAGCAATTGATTTTATTGGTGAAGCATGGAGTACTGTCAAACAAAATACAATTGTTAATTGTTGGAAAAAAACAGGAATTTTTCCAATTACCAATGAAGAAACAATTGAAATAGAACAAGCTACCACTGATGGAATAATTGAATCTTTAAATCAATCAGATCTTAGTGATGATTTGGAAATTTTGGAATATGTCAATGATAATGAATTGAGTTTGACAGAAAAACCTTTAGATGATGATGAAATAGTCCAAATGGTTTTGGATGAAGCAAACAATGTAAATAATGAATCAGAATGTGAAGATATTGATGAAGATGCTTTGAAAGCAGTAAATACATTGATTGAATATTTTGAACATCAAAATGATTTAGAGTTTAATGAGAATGATTATAAAAATTTAAAAAAATATAAAAAAAGTATTGAGAAAGATTTTTTTTCAAAAACACAAAGAAGTTTAGAATCTTTTTACAATATTTAAATTTTTTTAAATTGTAGCCTATTTTTAATAATAAAATTACATTCATTAAATTTTTTTTATAATCACACCAAAAATCTCTGGTCCCGAGGGTGTGACTGTATAGGAGTCTGACTGTAATTGTTTTGCAATTTTCTGTATAAATTTATATATTATATATGTTTTGTTGAGTATTTTTTAATGAAAATATTGGAAAATATTATTCCAATACTGTACCAAGGCACTGATTCAACATATGAAATAATAAACTTACCCAATATTACAAAAATTATTATACCCAAAACAATTGGAAATAAAATTATTATATATGAGTTCATTTCTTGCTATTGAAACTATTATCTCTAAAGTTTATGCAATATAAATTAATAAATTTAAGTATAGTCCACTTTCAATTCTTCTCAGCAAGTGAAGACAAACAGTTATAAATATGCTAAGAGTAGCAATTAGAATATTTAGACAAAACTCCTATTTTGATAAAAAGAGATCAAAGAACTAGTAAATATAAAAAATTTTTAGTAAAAACTCAACGGTAAATATATTATGTCATCCTAATACATACACATCTTTTTCGTTCTTCCTTCTTCACTTGCTTCACTTGCCCTATGCAAAGTTTAAATACTTATTTTCTACTTATTTTTCTTATAGAGGTATGTTTTGACATGTATTTCTGGGGTGTGAGATGCCCTAATTAAATCAAAATTAGGTGATGTAACATAATGTCGATCAATAACAAACTTTTTTTTAAAAAAAATAAGAATATATGTAAAAACTATATAAATAAAAATCGTATCAGAGCCTTCAAATAAAGAGATACAGACATGAAACTGAGAGAAATTATAGTAAATAGCTTAAGCTTTTAGATTACAGAGAGTTTTTTTTCTTGCTAAATAAAAAAAATTTTTTTATATATTCTAAAAAGATTGCTAATAAAAAAACTTTATAACCAAATGAGATAGGGAAAAAAGCTCTCTGTAACTTTATTATATATACCCTATTTGTTTAGGCATGACAATTTTAACTGAACTAATAGTAGAAAATTTTTGCTTCATATTATTATGATAAGAGCCAAAGATTTACACCAGAGGATATGCATAAAGAACTTATTGAAGAATCTGTTCATAATACCCAACTTTCTCATGATGAAATTCCTAAGGTAGA